CGCGCCGGCGAGCAGGGCCGCCGCGGCTGCGGAAGAAGCGGCGCCGACTTCCTCGAACCCCGCCACGGCGGCGCGGGCTCGCCTCGCGGACGGCGGGCTTCGCGCCTCCCCTTGGTCGGAAGCGCACGCGAAGGAGAGGGAGGGCGGGGTCCGGCACCGGGTCACCCGCAGCTCGCCGGCGGCGGAGGCCGGGGCGCGGGGGAGGAGGTCCAGCGCGGCGGGGGGCTGCGGCGCCGAGAGGCGGTGGTGGGGGCGGCACTTGACGGAGCAGGCGACCGCCGCCGGCATGGCTCCTGGTGGTGGTGCTGGCTGGCTCGGTGAGTTGGAGTTCGGCGGAGGGGACGGTCGAAGAGGGGGGAGTGGGGAGGTGGAGATTGGAGAAAGAGGCGTGGAAGGGAGCTCTAGTTGGGACGTTGGGCTCTTCGCGCGTGCTGGCGTGGTTATGACTAGTAAGCCTACTCGTGGGAACTGGGAAGATGGTGGTCGTTTTTATTTTAGACCTCAAGTCGCCAAATCATTTGGGTTGGCTTGGCTTGCTAATTTTCGAACGAGGAGGTGTGTTTTCTTTCCGAGAGCACGAGTAAACTATGTGCCGTAGTTTTAGTTTTATAGAAGGCACATGATAAAACACAAGAATCAAACTCTCACCACATGCCGATGAGAGGCAAACACCACAGAAACCCCAACACAAAAGTATCTGCGCTAAATTGACCAACAAAAGCAGCCGCGTCTCAACTAACCTTGGTCACCTCTAAAGAGCAACAACTTCAAACAAACTCTCATTGCCAACGCATCAACTAGTGTGTGGCATTAACCATCCTTGATTGCCTAAAAGAGTTGGCAGGTGGGTGGCGAGACTCGAACAGCCCCAAGAAAGTCATCATCTTGGAATCACCCGCGACGGTGTACATAGTACCTTTAGGTCCTGACGAACAATTCAGAACAACGGTGAGTACCACAGGAAAGCAAACTAGGACCTCCAAGTCGTGTCTCCAAAAGCAATTATCCCAACAGAAGAGCGACATCGAGGACGCTGCTATCATCGATCCGGATCCGAACCTAGGCTTTTGCCCGAAGACAACCAATCAAGAGAGAGAGAGAGAGAGAGAGAGAGAGAGAGAGAGAGAGAGGTGCCGACACACCACAACGCTGCCTCCAAGGAGGGGAAATGACACCCACGAGGGGCTGTCATGGGTGGCACCAGCCAAAGACGGGCAGGACTTCCATCCGAATTATCGCAAACCTACATCCCTGCCCATCGGAATGAGGTACATCATCATTAGACATGATACTTTATACAATATTAGACATGTAATGTTCATAAGCATGTGAAATTGTGTAGTTCAAAGTCATATTCATTTCCTCTTGCTTCAGGGCTCCACCGAACGTAATTACCTAACATGATTCACTCGTCCTTACATGTCGCGACGAACTCTGAAGCCCTAGCCGCCACCGGCGTTACGCTCTCGCTCCTGCCAAAGTCCGTCAACGAGCAAAACCCATGTGGCGTCTGCAGTGCCAGAATGGTCTGTCCACATGGAGTTCATGCGACAGGGTTGGCCGGATGCGGCAGATTAGGGTTGGTGGCAGCGGTTGATATGTGTTCGAGCAACGGCAATTCTCAACCAGGGACGCTTACAGGTGATGCTACATGCACCGATGGCATACAGGGATCCTAGATGGCGGTTGGCTTGACCTCTGGCTCATATTTGGCGTACAGCTACATAGGCGTCTTGGTTTTGATTTAGCTTGATTTTAGAATTCTCCGTGTTAGTCGAGGCCGCGAGGCGACGACGTTGCCCGGTTTACAAATATTGGCCTGCATATCCTATCCATGTTCCATCGGTGCACTCGGTGCCCGTAGAGGGCACATGAAGGTGTGTCTGTCCATCCGAGGATTTAAATCTTCGTTTTAATGTTTTCTATAAGGGCATGTAAGATACTCTTATCTTAAACCCGTCACGTAATCTATAAAAAATTACATGGCATTAGTCTTTTCTTTGATAGCTAAATATTTCTAAATACATGGTGAGGGGTGACAGATATTATTGCTAAGAGATTATATCCTAATTAAGAAAAAATACAGCCTTTTTCTTATTATCTCTCGTTAAGCTCAGCAATTTATTATACTACCTATCACTTCTACTGTACAGAAAATTCTGAATTCCGCCACCCAACAACCGTGAGACGTGTTCCTTCTGTCCACGTACCACGGGAGTGATTTGCATCAACGTGAGGGTGTCTTGTGCTTAAACGTGCAGCTTCCTCCATGTCACGGAGGGCCGCAAACGACGGGGCGCACGCATGTCAAACGGAGGCTTCCTTGTGCGTGTGGACGAGGGATCGCTTGCCGGTTGGGCAAAGCAGGCATTGGCGGCACGGACCAACAGCTGATGCGTTTGTTCTACTCACCGTCTCGTGTCACGGCGCCAATGTTTCTTTCGAACCGATGGCAACGGGCCGGAGAAATGACCCATCGAGTCAGTTTGTCAACCAACTGATACTGATGGATGTTTGAGTGCCTCCGATGCAACCCCGGCCGGGAGCGATGGTATATAGGGCTGCAAGAAAAGCTCGTGGCTCATGAGCCGCTCGAGATCGATTTGTTTTTTGGCTCGATTCGAGAACGACTCGAAAATAAATGATTTAAGTTTGAACACTTTATGCAGCTTGACCAAGAAACGAGTCGATCTTGAACCAATATTGGCTCGCTTGATTTGAGCTCTATAACTCGACATAATATCATTATGTTAAATGATCATGCCATATATTAAACGAAAATAAGATAATTTGTTATCACATATGATGTCCATGATTTTTGTCCATTTTATTTACCAGCAAACATGGAAGCATATGCACCTTCGTTTTTGTTATCATATAAGTGCACAAAAGATTTAGGCCTAATTATGGTAGGTGATCGACTATGTGTTAAATATCCTATTGTGTTTGGCAAAAGTTTTCAGCATATGCACCTTCATTTCTTGTTTTTCGTCCATGAAGACCACCATCTATCGCTAGTTCACCCAAGAGAGAAGATGAGCTCTCCCTAGCACGACGAAATGGGGGTACAAAGTTGTGTCATGTTGTGTCCTTATCTCGTTAGAATAATCGCCATAAATTTATAATTTTTACGGTCTCATTTAGCTCAAAACTAGCTCGAGATCGACTCGAGATCGTTACAAGTTGAACATGAATCATGTTCTACAGCTCGATCTTGAGCTTCACTTAGTTTGAGCTCGCTCAAAATTTATATGAGTTGAGCCGAGCCAAGTCCAACTCACTTGAACTCGACTCGTTTGCAGCCCTAGTGGTATACTAGAGGGCACTAGAGGGCACGGGAGTCAGTTGTGCACAACAGATTCAGGCGACGTGCGTGGGCAAACAAATTACGGGAGCGGCAAATGCATCAACACCATTGTAGTGATATGATACTTCCGACGCAATACAAAAGCGATGGTTCCATTCAAAATACCAAATCTATACAACTTTGCAACCGCAATTTTTGAAAAACATAACGAGGGACTATTTGATTGACAGGATTCTAAAAACAGACAGGAAATACTATAGAAATTTCCTTCAAAGAGGTTTGAGCAATTCCATAGGATTTTCGGTCGTTTGATTGCATCACAGGAAAATCAAAGTTTTCCTTCAACGAGATTTGAGTGGATGCTAGAAATCTATGTAAGTAGTTCAAATAAATCCTGTGAATCAAAGGAGCTCTAAAGATCGATCAGGCAATTGCAGCTAAGCTGTACAGACAAGCAAACACATCAAACATGATCACACACACGATAAGATGAACATGTAGCAGCAAATGAATATCCATACACAGAATAGCACGATTGGATAGCTTCACCTGCTTTGCAAGTACTCCCTCTGTAAACTAATATAAGAGCGTTTAGATCACCTGCTTCAAAGTTTCTTAAAGCCAGGGTGAAGCATCGTCCAGATACAGGCGAGTATATGGGAGAACAGATGTATGACTGCATGAACCTGAACATTCATAGTAGTCTATAAACATCTTTCTGAAACTAGCAGAAACATAATCTTGTACTAATGCACTCTGGGAAATACAGTAACAAATGCTAGATCATACAAAGCTCGACAGGTAGAACAGCTGCTACGCATCAGGTGCCACAGCAAGCAAAAAAATCAAACACCCATAAAGAAAACAAACCTCATTCTAGCAAATACGAAGTAGACAGATGGCATCAAAGGAAGATTTCTCAAAGAACATGTAGCCACTTCAGCTTAGATGCAAATGGATATCAATACTTCACACAATGGCACAACAATTACAGCACAATAGCTTACTCCAGGTGTTTATTTAACTCATGAGGTGGCACTAAACTAGTCAAGTAAATTTAGAAGGAAGATGCAATCCAAAACTAAAGTACCTGCTAGGAATTCCAAAGACAAACTACTGCATCATGTTAACTATGAGTATGTCTACAAACAACCTCCTACAGACATCAAGTTCAATGTCATCAAGCAAGCAAATCATTGGCATACAATTCAAAGTTCACTATGACTACAAGAAATAGAATCCTGAAGTAATACACTATGACAAGGTTAACAAAGAGAAAACAAAGCATAACATAGTGCAAATCAAAATCATACAGTTCACATGTCACATGACAAGCACAAGCAGGCATAGAATCATACAGTTCACATGACTAGCAGGCATAGAATCATAAAGTTAAGATGACTAGCAGGCATAGAATCTTATGGTGATGCACCATAGCAAATAACAGTATATGCATTAGGGATTGATAACGATTAACACAGATCAAACGAAACATAAATAGGAGCACAGATATGGATAACTCGTCTGATATAAACTGGCATAACATAGCGCAAAATTCTCATAAGATGTTGGTTTACCACACAGGAACCAGGATAACAAACTAACGATGTCTTGTTCAACACAAATTGCTGGTACGGGAAACAACTAATAGTTCAGATATAATAGATCTCAAGGCACGGTCGCGAACAGAACCCTAGGCAACGAGCACGACAGCGCCGCCGGCGGCCTTGATCTTCTTCTCTGCGATCTTGGAGATGAGCTTGGCCTTGACGACGATGGGCTTCTCCGGCAGCATCCCCTTGCCGAGCACCTTGAAGTAGCCGAACTGCGAGACGTCGACCACGGGGGCCTTGTCGCCGCCGGCCTCGGCCGCCTTCTCGGACGGCACCATGGACCAGAGCCTCTCGACGTTGACCGTCGGGGTGTAGAACCTGTTGCTGAGCTTGTGGAAGTAGCGCATACCGACCTTGCCGAAGTAGCCGGGATGGTACTTGTCGAAGAGGATGCGGTGGTGGTGCATGCCTCCGGCGTTACCGCGGCCTCCGGGATGCTTGCGGTGCTTGCCCACACGCCCGTGCCCGGCGGACACGTGGCCGCGCTTCTTCCGGTTCTTCTTGAAGCGGGTCGTCATCGCCGCCGCTCGCTCGCCGCCGCCGCGGGCTTACCTTGGAGGAGAGGGGTCGGGGCGGGTGGGGTGGAGGCGGAGGTGTGTGGGAGGGAACCCTTGCGGGAGGGAATGGAAGGACTTATAAGGCTGACGCGTGGGGCGTCGACCGTCGGATGGGGGATTGGGTGGTTTGGGACGTTGGATGTAGGTTCCTAGGGTTTTGCTTTGGTGCGGCCGAGAGGAGGTGGGCTATCTATGGGCTGGGCCTGGCTTCGGTTGAGGCTTCATCTTTCCACTTTGTGTGATAGGCTGGACTGATGGCCCGTCCCCTGGGTCTCTGGGCTTTTGGCCCAATTTATAGCGAGACGTGTTTGGCATTGTCTCGTTGCTCCCTAAAAAAAACATTGCCTCGTTGCTCGCCTTAAAAAGACAGTGTCTCGTTGCGAAAGTTTTCTTGCGTTTGAGTCGTAGCAGTGGGACACTGGTCAGCTGTCACGACGGAAGAACAGCTAGTCCTTTTTTTTAGCATCACTACAGACACAAGCGTTCATATACATGCGCATACACTCACTTCTATAAACACGCACACATACCCTACCCTTATGAGCATCTTTGAGAGACTGAGCCGACATATCATCTTAAGATTTACGAAGTCATCGTAGGCGCTTCGTCGTAGACGGGAACGTCTTCTCTCACTGAAAGCGCATCGCCGGAAATCCTGAAATAAATCCAGGAATAATGCGAGCACCAGGATTTGAATCCTGCTGGGTTGGGAATATCACTGTCCACCTAACCAACTCAACCACGTTGATTCGTAGAACAGCTAGTCTATTGATGGGTGTGGGTTTGCGATGTGATGGCATATTGTGATCGCATAGAACAGGAAATAGAAAAAAATTGACCATGTTAACTGGTGAATGTTTGCGAGAGGGTGACATATACAAATGATTTTGTGGCAGTTTTAGTTGTGAGAAAGTGGTTGGGTGGTGACATTTTTCTCATGACATGTCAGTTTTTTTTTTTGAGCATCAGTACAGACACAAGCGCTCATATACACGCGCATACACTCACCCCTATGAACGCACACACGTACACCCTATCCCTATGAGCACCTCCGAGAGACTGAGCCGGCATATCATCTTGAGATTTACGAAGTCACCGTAGGCGCTTCGTCGTCGACGGGAACGTCTCCTCCCACTGAAAGCGCATCGCCGGAAATCCTGAAATAAATTCAGGAATAATGCGAGCATCAGGATTTGAACCCTGATGGGTTGGGGATACCACTGTCCACCTAACCAACTCAACCACAGGTTGATTCGCATGTCAGTTTCTTTCTGAGAAGGCAATTTTCGTTTAAAAACTGTCATCATTTTATCTCTTATCATAACTAAAAATGTAAAACGGTAAAAGTAAAGGAAAATAAACTAACAATTTCATAAGAGCTTGTATTAATTGATATTGGACCCGAAGTCATAGGTTTACTAGTGGCATCTCTCTCGAAAGCAGGTAGTGATATGGTAGACAAATTGGTGTTTGATAATTGACATAAAAGTAATAATTGATAACCATGATCATTCATGGCATAATCTCGTGTAGTCTGTGATAAATAGACTGTTAATCCAACTGTATCTACCATTATTTCTCCGCTCCAAGATCGCTCACTAGTACATCGAGCTGCTATACAAACAGTTTTTAACCCCTTTCCATAAGGGCATTTTAAAACGTCACCTTGCCGGTGTGGGCGATAGGGGTCCTTCCTACATGGCCCAGAAACCGTCGGGGATGGGGATTAGAAATGCATACGTTTTCCAGAACAAAGCATATGTGATGCCCGCATCTATCCCAAATGCGATTCATCACACAACTGTTGGTGATATATCAAATATCTCAAACACTCCATCCATGCTACTCGTGTGTGCTGGCATTACCATTGCACATGCTATTCTATGGTGCAATGTTTATGGCGTTCACCCCATCACAAACAGTTCATGATTGCCAAGCGTGTATGATAAGGAGACTATCACACACATTCATTTCTCCTGAACCATATGTGATCTATAATAAGAAGATTACCTATTCATCATACGAGTGTCAGATAGGATTACAAAATGTCGAACCGTCGTACCAGTGTCGTACAAGATAACTATCGCACACGCTGTTATGTGGTGCAACGTGTACGTTCCCTACGACATCCGAAACGGTTCATGATTGTAAACCGTGTATGATAAGGCGACTATCACAAACATTTAGTTTGCTCGCATCGTTTGTGATATTGTCTGGCATCACACATGTTTTGTAAACGGCAATTGTGTGCATGGTCGCACACGTTTCCTCGCTGCAAACCATGTCGGATTATGATGTATATCATAAACGTTTGTGCTTTACAGACCGTGTGCACCGTAACGACCTACATAGTATATGTTGACCCTAATTAAATCGCTGCTATTTAAAATTGTACCAAATTTGAATTTGAAAATTGAATATAACTTTATTCATGTCCATCAGGTTAAACAACCAATGTATTATTCAATTCGCAGATACATATATTCAAGAATTACATAAGCACCAAATAAAGAATGATGAACCAGAGTTGTATACTTGTACTATTAAACACGGTAAAGAAAGATGCAAAAAACATTCTGGTTGATGAACAAGGTGAAGCGGAATGCCCGTATTGTGCTCTCCTCCATGCAGAAGGCACGCACGACTCTAGTCCACCCCCTCATGATGGTCGACCACCCATTCTTCACCGTCTTCATGACGCATGAGGACATCTAGATAGTCATTGTGTTCTGATAGAAATACTTTAACCTTTTCATGTCCACCAATCATATAGTTTGAGAGGTAATCTTGAGCGCATGCGTCTACAGCTGAATGAAAAAGGCTCTATAGAAGCTGAATTTCAGTTTGTAACTTCATATGACAGATTATTCGGAAGTCACTGTATCAAGCCGCTATATGACTTCTCGGTGGCTGATCCATTCGCGGAAATAATGCATGAAACAGATTTTGAAGAAGATGATTTTGTTTTGTCGAAATAGTTTGAACCTTGTAATCTTTAAATTTGGGCCTTGTAATGCTGAAAATTTGAACCTTGCAATATTTATGATATTTGTTATATAATGTAATTAGATGTTTAATTTGGTTTTGCAATCATGTCATGTTATAAGTATATATGTTGTTTTTCTGTAGACAGAGCATAGATGTTGTGCAGACAAAGCATATCACATCGCACACGGACCACACTAGGAAACCCGTCGGTGATGAATTCATCAATCGCTGATAATTGTATACCGGCAAGTATTTGCCCACAACACACACAGATTATTCCATCACAAACAGCTCGGATGGATCAGCTGTATCCCACGTATCGCACACGCAACTCTAATATGAATCGTGCTTGATGTCTCCGTCATACGTCCATTTTGCATCATGTTTACCTACTGTTATTTATAATTTTTTAATGCATAATAATGATTTTTGGAGTAATTCTAATGTCTTTTCTCTTATAATATGCAAGGTACACACAAAGAGGGAGAATTCCGGCAGCTGGAAATGTGGACCTGGAAAAGCTACGTCAGGCCACCTATTCTGCACAACTCCAAACAAGATGAAACTTCACGAGGATTTTTTATGGAATGAATAAGAAATACTGGAGCAAATAACCACCGGAGGGGGGCACCTGGTGAGCACAAGATGATAGGGCGTGCCTGGCCCCAGGCGCGCCCTGGTGGGTTGTGCTCAGCCCGGCCCACCTCTGGTGCCCATCTTCTGGTATATAAGTCATTTTGACCTAGAAAAAATAAGGAGAGGACTTTTGGGACGGAGCGCCGCCGTCTCGAGGCGAAACTTGGGCAGGAGCACTTTTGCCCTCCGGTGGAGCAATTCCGCCGGGGGAACTTCCCTCCCGGAGGGAGAAATCATCGTCATCATCATCACCAACAACTCTCCATCTTGGGGAGGGCAATCTCCATCAACATTTTCAACAACACCATCTCCTCTCAAACCCTAGTTCATCTCTTGTGTTCAATCTTTGTACCGGAACTATAGATTGGTGCTTGTGGGTGACTAGTAGTGTTGATTACATCTTGTAGTTGATTACTATATGGTTTATTTGGTGGAAGATTATATGTTCAGATCCGATATGCTATTTAATACCCCTCTGATCTTGAGAATGAATATCATTTGTGAGTAGTTACTTTTGTTCTTGAGGTCACGGGAGAAATCGTGTTGCAAGTAATCATGTGAACTTGATATGTGTTCGATATTTTGATAGTATGTATGTTCTTATTCCCTTAGTGGTGTCATGTGAACGTCGATTACATGACACTTCACCATATTTGGGCCTATGGGAATGCATTGTGGAGTAGTTATTAGATGATGGGTTGCGAGAGTAACAAAAGCTTAAACCCTAGTTTACGCACTATTCCGTAAGGGACCGATTGGATCCAAAAGTTCAATGCTATGGTTAGAATTTATTCTTAATACTTTTCTCGTAGTTGTGGATGCTTGCGAGGGGGTTAATCATAAGTAGGAGGTTTGTTCAAGTAAGAACAGCACCTAAGCACTGTTCCACCGACATATCAAATTATCAAAGTAGTGGACACGAATCGGACCAACATGATGAAAGTGACTAAATGAAATTCCCGTGTACCCTCAAGAACGCTTTGCTTATTATCAGAGACCGTTTTGGCCTGCCCTTTGCCTCAAAAGGATTGGGCTATCTTGCTGCACTTTTGTTACTACTATTGTTACTTACTCGTTACAAATTATCTTGCTATCAAACTACTCTGTTAGTTACAATTTCAGCACTTGCAGATATTACCTTGCTGAAAACCACTTGTCATTTCCTTCTGCTCCTCGTTGGGTTCGACACTCTTACTTATCGAAAGAGCTACAATTGATCCCATATACTTATGGGTCGTCAAGGCTATTTTTCTGGCACCGTTGCCGGGGAGCAATAGCGTGGGGTGAATATTCTCATGTGTGCTTGTTTGCTTTATCACTAAGTAGTTTTTTTCCTG